CTGGGGACAGGCTCACACCAGGGAACAGGTGTCACTGCCTGGTTCTAGTCGATGCCCTGACTGTACTAGTTGTGTGACCTCGGGCACATATTTCCTGTGCGCCTCAGTTTCCTCATCTGTACAATGGTGCCGGTTCTAGTATGTGACCCAGAGGGTGGGTGAAGATTCCACAAGCTCGTTTATATCAATGGCTCCATTATCGCCTGCTGCTGCTCACTGTTCTTGCCCAGAGTCCTCCTCGCTAGAGCCCCCGCCCTGCTAGAAGGAGAGAGACTGAGAACCAATAGGGACAACAGAGGATGTTAGATGGTGGCAAATGCCGTGAAGGAAAAAGCAGGAGGCAGGAGGTCAGCACGTGCTGAGAGCAGTTGCAGCTGAAATAGATTCCTTCCAGAGAGGGCCGCAGTCAAGTCGGGCCAAGTTGGTGGGAGAGAGAGGAGAGGAACCAGGAACTCAGAGGGCTGGGGGCCGAGTTGGCCACTTGTTCCAGGAGAGGAGGGGCAGTGACACCCCCGAGACCACCCAGCAGCTAGAGGGCCAGCCTGGCCCCGAGACCCAGGACTGTCCGGGTGGCTGAGGGAGGTTGGGGCCTGCAGGACTCCCCAGATGCTCATAAGGCCCAGGATGGCTGAGGAGTTGGGACCATCTTTACTTTGGAAAGGCTCCTACAGAGCAAATGCAAGTGGACAGGGTGTTCGGCAAGGTGTGCGGTACAGCCTTGGCTTGATAGAAGGCCCCCTCCACCCTGCATACACCCCAGGACTCAGCCCTCTGGGGAGCCCCATGCTGCAGCCCTGCTGGAGGGTCCGCAGTCTGTGGGCACGGGGAGGAGGGCCTGGCGCTCCAGGGTCCAGGCTCCCACAGAGAGCAGCCTGTGGTCAAGGAGCCCTTCGTGGGGGAGCCCGAGACCGTCTGAGAGCTGGGAGGCAGTCTGGGGGCCGGGCCGCTCTGTGTACCCGGGAGGCTACTGGTGCCCTTTCCAGAAACCTCGGCCCTAGGGCTGGGGGTATTGGTATAGAAGGAGCTGGCAGGGGTGGTGGAGAGTCACCTGCTGGAATGAAGGGGATGGTGACTGAATTCCCAGATTTGAAGGGCCAGTGGTTGGTGATGGCCACATCTTCTGCCGGCTGGCTTCACGTCAATCCAGGCTATTTCTTGCTAATTTAAGATGGTCTTTGACACTTCACTGAGGTGACCTGGGGGCCACCGATGCGGATGAAAACAGCCTCGGCGGGGAGAGGGGTCGACTCCCCAGAGAGGGTTTTCAGCTCAGCCTGGCCCCCGCGACGCTCACAGAGGAAACACCAACAGGCAGTGTCGTCTGCCTCTCTGCCCGCGTGTGCTCCGAGAGGCCTGGGTGCGTGGCCCGCCGTGGGGGCTCAGCCCTGCCCAACCCCACTGTCAGCACTTCATCCTCTAGTCTATTTTTAGCTCCCATCCTCAGGGCCTGGCTGACACCGAAGGCAGCGTGGCTGTTTGGAGTTTTTCTTGATGAATATTTTATGCTGGGGAAGGCCTGCTGCACCGCGTCCGGCAGCTGCCGGCACTTTCCAGGCTAATTATTAGAGGAGGCAAGGGCGGGGCGTGGAATCTGCAGGCCCAGGCCCGGCCGGCCGGCCTGCCCACCTCTAAAGGCCTCTCTGAGACTGTGCGCTCTGACCTCGGGGCTGGGGGACAGGCCCACACCACTGACCAGAGCTGGAGAGGTCCTCGTGCACAAGGACATGGAGACCATCAAGCTGGCTCCCTAGGACCCGGCTCCAGTTTGGCCCCAGTACCTCCTGGGGTGGCTTTTCCCAGCCCAGGTGTGGGAGGCCCATTCATCCTCCAGACTCTTGAGACCCAGACGGGCTCTGTGTTGAAGTGGGAGCAAGCCAGTCCTGGGCGCAACGTCGGCCTCCTTTCCTGGTTCAGACGTGGGTGCTGCAGTTGCCGAGGGCCTGGAAGACCCACATGAGGCCAGAGTGGCCGGCGTTTGGTGAGAGGAAGGTGGGGGGAGGTCATGTTGCCCTCAACAAGGGAAAAGCCTGGAACCATCCCAGGCACTTGGTCGATGTGGGTTTGGAGAGAGCACTTCCACTCAGCTGCTCCTGGGGGTCATGTGGGAAAAGAATGTTTTTCCCAGGAAGCTGAGTGGAACAGTCTTTGCAAAGCGGGTTTCCATGGCTCCCAGAAAGCCCACATCGTGGAGTGAGCCTGTGACACGGGGGTCTTGGCCGCTGCTTGTAGCCCCTCACCTCCTGGTTTACCAGGGACAGCTGGCACTCAGGGGACAGGGGCCTCTACCCCAGGGCCTCCATCGTCAGACCGAAATGATAAGCTGGGACTAACGCAGGAGGCAGTGAGGAAATCGGGGAGGCAGCCATCCTTCCCTCTCCTTTAGATCGAGGCTCTCTCGTGGCTCGTGGGGTTCCACCAAGTAAAATGCGTGCTTCTGCACTTCATTGGCTATAAAATGCTTCCACTGGGAACATCACCACACCTGGAATTCAGGGCACCCTTGGGGGCCAGTCTCCTGAGCACGCACTCCCGAGGCCCGGGTGCCCGCTGAGGCCATTCCCTGTCTCCTGGGAGGGGCCAGCGGAGTGAGTGTCCTGGGTGCCCGCAGGGACAACAGTCTGGCCCCGGGGTAGCTGAGCGTTCACTGGGTGTCAGGACGGATTGTCTGCACCCACAGACAGGCCACTGTGACGGAGATGGGAAGTGGCTCGTCCAAAGTCAGATGCCGACTCTGGTCTGAGGATCTAGAGCAGATGGAGCCCCTTGGCCGTGGCCAGCGCCTTCCTGTCTCTGAGTCTCAGTTTCCCCACAGTTGTTCTCTGCGGTCTCTCTCTGGGCTGTCTCTGTGATCCAACCCGAGGGCTCCTAGCTCCTTTGCACTGAAGAGGAAGCACACGGGCCAGGCTTCCAGCAGCGGTCAGCTCCTCGCTCCCTGGGACTCAAGCCTGGAGATGAGGGGCTGTGGGTCCTCCCAAGGGTTGGTTCCTTGAGACGAAGCATCAGCAGGACCACCTCCCCCGATCATGGCCAAGCCTGCTCTTCACAGCCCAACGTGGCATACTTCCCACCCCCGGGATAAAGGGAAGAGGGTCCCCATGTGGAGCTTGTGGGCTGGGGCCCCAGGCAGCCCCATGACTTGGGGAGACGCCTCTGTCCCAGACACTCATGTGCTGGAATGATTTGCAGTTGCTCCCTAATTTAAGAAACGTAGGTGTACTGGGGACCGGTGGGACTGATACGTACGTTCCTGGAGCGCCTGGGAGACACATCACTGAGGGAAGCTGTGCCCTCCTGCTCCCTCTTCCTGCTGCCAGTCCACAGGAGTGCGTCAGGGACTAGAACATTCAGGAAGCTTCGGGACCCAGTGTTCTGCTCTCTCCTTTGGCTTTGGATGCTTAGTAGGGAGTCATAATAGAAAAATGCCAGAACCTTGAAGTTGTTCCTTTCCCCTGAATGGGTGGTGTTTGGGAACTTCTAGTGGTCTGTGGGTCCCATCTGCCCGGGAACCAGGGCTGTGGGTCCCACAGGGGGCGTGGACGAGAGGGTGTGGCCTCCCACGAGCCCGGCTCTCCCCTCCACTCTGCCGTGAGCCCGGACTCGTCCTCTGACCAACTTAACCTGTCCGGTGAGCACTTGTCTTTTGGTGACCCACTGTCCCTGACGGCCCTGGGCTGGCCTCTTGGCTGAAACGGCAGTGCTCTGGAGAACACTCAGTCCACGTTCAACAGCCAGCTCTCCAAAAGGGGCCCAACGCACAGGACTCACTTTTCCTCCTTAAAATGCCCGCAGGTTCTGTGCATGGAGTACCAGCTTCTTGGTGCTTGGGCACTGTGTCTCCAAATCCAGGTGACCCCAAGCTGTTTTGATTTCTATAGGATGTGAAAACCTGAGGCAGGCTCTCGGCACTGTTAGGCCTGACCCCACACAATGCCGGGAACACGGCTGCAGGAGAGGCCCATGGGCAGAGGGCCCAGCCGGAGCTGGGACATCCCAGACCCCGTGGCCACCTTGGAAGGTGAATTCAGGCTGGGGAGAGACCTGTGAAAGTTGTTGGGTCCAGACAGGGGTCAGGGCCACAGGACCCAAGAAGATTTTCCCTCAGGGTGAGTCGTGCCTGGCGTGTCCTGGGGCGGAACACAGGACCAACCCAGCACGTAAGAACCACGGCTTCTCGGCAGCCTCGCGCTTTCTCTGTGAGGTGGAGTGGAGCCCCCTGGCAAAGGCTCTCCAAGGCCAGGGACACTTCTGAACCCTGTGCTCCAGGTTGCAAGGAAGCAGCAGACCCCGGACCCCCCCCCAGTGGTAGGAAGGCTGCAGAGGGCCTCCCCACACCCTGGCGCGTGCACAGGTTCAAGCACAGTGTGCGGCACTGCCAACAGGAGAGGAGCTGCTTCACCCGGGGGTTGATCCACCCCCAGCAGTGCTGGACAGCCTGGTCATGCCTCTGTTGCCGCTGCAGGACCCTGGCGAGCCCCTCAGTGGTCTGAGCCCTCTGGAGTCGGTCGAAGACAGATGATGCCTGAACGTGTGTCCATCGGTATCGAATCTTTAACACAGAGACCACATCAATGCAGAGTTAAGCTTTCTTGCTTTGACCTTCATTGGTTTGCCATTCAGTCATTCAGCAAATGCTTCCTGAGTCCCTCCTGTGTCCCAGGCATGTGCTGGCCGCCGCCAGAGGGCAGGAGGGGCTCTGACACAGCAGGTACACGCAGGGCCAGAGGCTCGCCAGGAGAATGGAGCCCCTGGCCTGGGCCCAGCCATGGGAAGGGTTCAGCAAAAGGCAGTCAGGGTCCTGGGAATTGTTGTTGGGTGGGGACGCTATGTCAGCATTCTGGGTACAGGAGCCAGTGCTGCGAGCGGGGCCCGGGGGAGGGGCTACCAAGGCCCCGGGAGAGGACCGGGTCCTGACTCCTCTTTCCTATCAGGGACTGCCACCCTTCACTGTATTTCCCCAGGCTGCGCCCCAGCTCCCTGCCCCTTCCGCAGCCTCCTATCAGCCCTAATGCAGGGTAATTTCATGACCGCACACCAGGGCAGTTGTCCTGGGGGCTGAGCTGGTGCTGCGGGGAGAGGGGAGCCCCTGGCACGGATGTTTATGACTCTGCATGGGGGACTCATTATTGGACACTTCTGGCCCCGAGCTCTGGAGGCTGCTGTGGGGAGACTGTGCGGGTACCCTGCAGGAGTTTGGTAGCCCTGGCCTGCAGCCACTGGGAGCTGGGCCCACGGGGAGCAGCTGCCCAGCTGCCTACCCCAGCCCCACCGAGGTCGGGGTCTGTGGGTTGAGCTGCACTTGGGGGACACAGCTGCTTGTGGGGCTGGTGGGTCCTGGACACCGAGCTCGTCCTTGCCTGGCCACGCACAGGGCCCCTCACCACACCATGCTGAGTGGCCCTAGTAATCAGAAGATGCCTTAATTGCCTGTGTGATGGTTCCAGGATCCCTCTCGGCTCCTGCTATGAAGACCGGAGAGGCTGCACTACGTGGCTTCCTAATTAAGAAGGTCCGTGTCCCTCAGGCTCTCAGGAAGTTGTTATATCACCGCTGGAAACGCTCCTCGCACCAAACTTTCATTAATTACAAAAAGGACAAGCTCTTGATTTTACTGAGGGTGGAACTTAGTCACTTACCCTCCCTGCCAAGTTCCAAATATGTGTTCTCGAAGCAGAGAAAATGCAAAATGGAAAACATTTGGTTCGCACTGTTAGGCTCTGGAAGCCACAGGCTTCCCCTGCAGTGGAAGGGAGCCCAGAAGACAGCACTGGCAGAAGCGCAAGAGGGAGGGGAAGGCGCATCCGAGGCCCCGCCGCCCGCGGGCGGGAGCCAGGGGGCGCCCTGAGCACAGAGGGACTGGGTCCCCAGGGTTGAGTGGGAGGTTCCAAAGTCCCAGCTGCCTTAAGATGACCCCCAGGGCTGCCTGTCCTCCTCCCAGGGCAGTGGCTGTGGATCAGCAGCCAGGAGCGCTCTTGGTCCCTGAGGCCGTGTGTGACGAAGGGAGTAGTTCGCTAGTGTGCGTGCATACACTCACACACACACACTGTAACTGCCATGCACGGGGCCCGCCGGCACTGGCACTGCGGGAAACACTTCATGTCACCTCCTGGTGGGAGAACCTGGCCCTGGGAAGGTAGGCCGCATCCCTGAGGCCACACAGCCAGGTCCCTGTGACCCTGTGTTCCTTGCCACCCCTCCACTGTCCCTCCCACCAGGCAGGTGTCTCCTGGGAAACCTGGGATCACCACTGCCCGCAGGCCCCTTTGCCTTCGCCTCTCCTTTTCCGTAGCCGCGGGGAGCCCACCCAACCGTGCTGTCAGGAGCCCTCCTCCCCGCCGACAGCTCCAGGCACTTGGAGGAAAATGCAGTTTCCCACAGAGGAGCTTTGTGCTCCCCCCTCACCCCCAACCCTCCATTAGAAACAGCAACAGCCAACAACTTATGTATTTATTTACTTCGCCGGATGGAGGGAGACGGGCTGTGAGGAGGCGGCAGCTGGGCCGTGGGTGGGGTTGTGTGAGGGGAGCCATCTGTCTTGTTCGGTCAGCTCCATGCCCAGCAGGGAAGTGGTGGCCCCTCTTAGTCACTTGGCTAGGAGGGCTGTTTATCGGAGCTCGCAGCCCTGGGGAGGCTGAATGCCTGCCAGTCAGCAGGGCAGGGACCTTGTTTCCATGGGGAGCAGATGCAGCCCTGCTCACCTCTGGTTCTGTCTCCTCCGGCGAGGGGAGGGGGGCAGCCAGGGCCTCAGTGTATGAACTCCTGCCCTGACTGGGCACCTTGCAGGGCAAGCAGGTGAGGAAGGCCATCAGCACTGAGCACTGCTCCCAGGGCTGGCCGGGCTCCACGGAGCCTGGAACAGGCAGCCCAGGCCGCCATCCCCAGAGACCAGCAGAGACACGAGCCCTCTGCTGGCTCCCTCCTCCCAGGCCTCACAAGGGCCTCGGCCTTGCCCTCCAGCCGGCCAGCTGCCTTCACATCCGTCACCAGCAGCATCAGCTCTGTCTGAGGACGGATCCTGGCTGATGAGCTGGCCGCAGAATATTAAACGTCGGAGACTCAGCACTGCAGCCGTGAGGCCCAGTGCTGGGCACCAGCTTCTCCCTCACTGAGCAGACGCTCTGCTTTGTTGTGGTTTGTACCTGAGCCTCAGCCTCTGCCCCTCCTCAGGTCACGCATTGACTGAACTAGTGAGGGAGGCATTCAGAGTCCTTGGCGCGTGCGTTCTGGAACATACATGGCCTGTTGGCTGCTGAGGGGTGGGAAGCTGCTGTCCTCTGGGGTAACTGTTGGAGGGCTGGGCCCTTTACAGCTGCACATCAGGGCCAGTGGGACGAGGGAAGGGCAGCGAGGGGCACGACCCCGCAAGTGGACGCCTGGCTCACCGCCCCCGACCCGGCCTGCTGAGGACCCAGCACTGCCTCCCCTGGCTCCCAGGTGCCGGCACTCCCATTCGGACACTCCCCCCTTCCCCCGCCGCCCTCCAGTCCCAAAGTTTATGACCAAGAGAGAGGACTCCTCGTGAGTGTGGGGGGAAAGCACGGGGGAGATGGCCCCAGTGTCTGACTCCCCCAAAGTGGGGCGGAAGGGCCGGCATTCTTGTCCATGTCTGTGGACTCTGGAGGACGCTCGGGCAGCCACGAGGTCCTGCCGGCCGCTCACAGGCAGACAGGAAGGCGCGCGCTTGTCTGCTCTTCTCCGCTGGCAGGACGCGCCTGGCTCCAAAGCTGGAGCAGAGGCTGCACCGGGAATGCACCCCTGCCCCTGGGCTTGTCCCCTCCTGGTCCTTTGTGCCTGGGGATGGGAGGAGGGGCCGAATTTCCTATAGCCGCATCTACTCTCTCCTGTCTTGTTGGTTTTTCTTTTTTCACTTAATTATAGAAAATATAAGCAAAAGTAAAGAAGAGAAAGAACCCTATGTATTAGCAACATGGGGCCAGTCTTGGTCATCTGCCCGTCCCCACCCATGCTCTCCGGAAGCAAATCTCAGAAATCACATCATCGCCTCCAGGTATTTCAGTGTGTGTCTCCGAGAGACAAGGGCTCGCTGTCCTTTGTCGTTGGCTTATTTGTGGTTGGACTGGGCTCTGGCCAGCGGGCCCTGGGCTGCGGGTGCCCTGCAGAGACCCCGCTGCAGGACCTGCGGCCCCGGACTCACGCTCATGCCAAGAACCCGGGCCTGCCAAGCCAAGAGTTAGGGCGGACCCAGACAGCCACGCAGGCCACTCCCACCCCAGTGACAGGCCCACTGCCAGCTCACATGGGCCACCGTGTTGAGGCCTTCAGTTGGGGACGTGCCCACACGTGGGCGCTCCCCCTGCCCCTCACCCCCATGTGACAGGACATCTGGCCCTGGAGACTGCCTTGCTCCGGTCTCCTTTGTCTTTGGTCCAGGCCGTTGTCATTTTCTGGTGCTGCGTCGCCTGCCTATGTTGGGCGTGTCGGCCACTAGCCCATCGGCGCCTGAGGCAGGGTCCCCACACCTGGCGCCGCCGTGGGGGCAGTGCCCGGTTTAATTCAGTGAGCGGTCTCCTCTGCCCGCTGCCCCTCCTGGGCCCGATGTGGGCGGGGGCACTGCCGTGCTTACCCTTCCCCTTGACTTTCTGGAAACTCAGAGAGCACTCACGCTTCTGCGGTGGTTGTGACAGTCACGCTCCCTGCAGTTCCCCCATTTCACACGTACAATCCGGTGGGTTTGAGTGTATTCACGGAGGCATGCAGCCACCACCACAGTCAACTTTAGCACATTTCCAAAAGACTCAGGGCACCACTTAGCCGTCACCCCTCCCCCAGCCCCGGCCACCCCTGCTCTGCTCTCTGTTGAGCTGCCTGTTCTGGATGATCCACGTAACTGGACTCCCACATGGGGAGGGCCTTTGTGCCTGGCTTCTTTCTCTCTCCCTTGGTCCTTAATGACTGGTCTTGAACGGGGACAGCTAGGAGGACTTCTGTCCTCACAGCAACCCTGGGGGGCAGATATTGGCCCATTTTACAGAATAGGAATGTGGGTGAGTTGTGGGGCCCACGACTGGGAAGTGGTGAAGCCAGATTCAAGCCAGACTGATTGAACCCTAGAGGGGAGGCTGGGCTGGTTTCAGGGCAGATCGAAGAGGCCACTCTGGGAAGGACATGCAGGGTGCTGGAGGTCCCAAGATCGGGCAAAACTTGGCCAGTGTGGGTCCAGGCATCTTCCAGGGCTGTCAGCTGGCTTTGAGGGCACACGCCACAAGCTGACCGCAGGAGAGCGTGGGCAGAGCTTCCTGTCGGCCCCAAGATGGGAGTGGGGTTCCTGAAGAAAAGGAGTCCCTGGCCAAATCAGCATGGGACAGCCCAGGTTAAACACCATTAACTAGGTTTATTTTACTGCAAGATTGTCAGAACCTCAGTCTGTGTGCATCATGTATTGGGAGGGGCCAATTAGCATACAGGTTTCCAAACCTGTTTGGCCACAGACCATCAGGAAGCCTTCATCTCCCTTTTGGAGCTGGGGAAACAGAGGCCTAGGGAGGCAAGAGGCCACAGAGCTTTAGCTCCTGCTGCAGGTTTGCCCACAGTGGTGTTAACACAAATGAAACAGTGATGTGTGCCCTCGAGGGAAGGAACCCCAGTGCGTGATGTGGGTGGTCCCCAGGCTCCAGATGGCCGGACAGAGAGGTGGACGCAGAGGGTGGGGCTGCTCCCCTGGCATCTTCCTCAGCCCTAATGCCAGTGTTCCCCCCACCCCAGGCCCTGGCCTCACGTGGGCCACTCCTGCCTGACAGCGGCTCCTGAGCTCTTGCCAGCAGCTCCAAGGGCCATTCGCCACCCTCCCTGTGTCCCCTCCCCACTCCCTGCAGCCCCGAGAGCACTTGGCTGGGGACCCAGGCATTAGGGGACTCAGTTTCTCTTCCGAATCCCACATCTGCTTTCCAAGAACACGGATGGGCTGGAGAAACAGGAAGGCCCCTCACGTGGGGCAGAGCCTGGCTCTGGTGGGCCCTGCAGAGGGCCTGGGAGCGGTCCCCTCTCGGACCTGCTG